CGGTGGAAGCAATACCCTGTTATCATTTTTTAATTGGAAAGTGCTGCACAAACTACAAATAATAATAATAATAATAATAATAAAAAAAAAAAAACCCGTAGGATAGTTGAAAATGAATAAGATTTGTTAGGAATAACGACTCTCCACAATGGTATGATGTTGTCCACTTTGAGCATAAGCTCTCATGGCTTTGCTTTGAGGGGCTGAGCTTCCCCAAAAGATCTCATACTAATGGAGATGTATTCCTTACTTATAAACTCAGGATCATTCCCTAAATTAGTCAACATGACAAGATTTCCATTTATCCCTCTGGGAGGGTATTAGCTGAGTTTACTATTGTGCAATTCCATGCTTGAGTTCAGCAACACTGAGGTTCGGGGATTCGTACCCCTAATCCCATATGTTGCTAATGTTGGTGTCACAAGGTATAACTAGCTACTATAATTTTCTAGTTTTGGTAGACATTTATTCAAGTCATTGAACATTTAAACGAGCTTTTGAATCCTAATGTTCCTAGAAATGATGGCTATTTCATGTGATTAGTTGTCGTATGCATAAACTGTTTTAGAAAACATTAATCTTCGAAGGTTTGAAGCTAAAAAAGGAGGTCCTCCAGCTGATTCTCCCCTCTTATGGAAAATTGTTCTTAATGGAGCCACAGGGATCTACACACAGAAAGCTCAAGTTAAACTATATATTTTCTAAGTTTCATCTTTTTTTTGTGCTATGCAGGAAGCTGTATCATTAGTGCAACACATCCAAGATGCAGAAATGGCTTCAAGAAAACTCATTCAAGAAGCTTATGCACGAGGGAGTACCGACAACATTACGTGTGTCATCGTACAATTTGGTTTATCATAACTCAATACGATCCGATCAGACTTGTACAAATCAGCAAATTGCAGATCTGTCCTACGAAATGTCTCGACGAACTAGAGTTACTGGTCTTAACAGGGCCTTGATCCTACAGCTTATTTATTTGTTGGTATTGAATCGAGTATGTAATTTGTGTTCAGAACATTCCTGCTCCGTCTGTGACTACTTAAAAGCATAGTCCTTTTGTGTATATGTTCCAAGTTTTGATTCAAACTCGTGTTACAGATGTTGTTTCACTTGTTTTTGTCACCCTGTATTATCATTCACGTTAATCTTATGTTCTTTTTCGTGTGTGTTCGATCTTCAATGTACTTTTAGAGGTTTCACTTTCGTAATCATATTATAAAAAATACCTATCATATTAATTCTAATATTTATAAATCATAAAAATTAAATGTGAGATCTCACATTGATGGAAGAGAGGAATAAGTGTCAGGGATTTCTTTATAGTGGTTTGGAAATCTCTCCCTAATAGATATTTTTTAAAACCGTGAGGTTTACGGCGATGTGTAACGGGGAAGTAAACAATATCTACCAACGGTGGACTTGAGATGTTACAAATGGTATTAGAGCCAGACACTAAAGATGAATTGTGAGATCTTACATCGATTGAAGAGAGGAATTAGTACCAACAAGGACGTTGGAGTCCGAAAGGGGGTGAAACGTCCAAAAGGGGGTGAATTGTGAGATCCTATATCGATGAAAGAGGGGACGAAGGATTCTTTATAATGATGTGAAAACCTCTTTCTAACCAAAATTTAATTTGAATAATTTCTAGTGAATCCTTTAAATTGATGAGATTAATGATGAAAAAAAAAAAAAAAAAAAAAAAATTCT